GTTATTCAGCAAGCTAAGCTCTAAGTCAAGCCTTGATTTCACTGTGAATGATACTCTGTAGTTCAACCACAACACAGCAGCTTCATGCAAGAATAAATGTATAAAATGCAATAAACTATACTGATTTATTAATACAAATTCTCTATTAATCTTAATCTTCCATTTATATTTTATTGTCACCAAATGCAAGAGTACAGTGATACGGCACCAACACCTCTAGACCCGTTCAAGGAACGAGTTCCRTAGTGCCACAACAGGTGAAGGAAAAAGGAAATCCTCTGCTGCCACCTAAAGGGTTTTTCTTTCCTTCAAAGTGCTAAACTTGAGGAACAAAGATACTTGGATTCACTCAGCTTAATGAGCACCCAAACTGAAAAAGAGYCATCAGAAGAAAAGCATCCTGCTTAAAATATTAATATAGCTGCTTAATATAGTTTATTAGAGCTTAATATAGCTGCTTTCCCCTCACTGCATTGAGTTCTTGTAGTCAAAATGCCAGCTAGGAAATAGTAACAACACTACACATTTGTTTCTTCCCACTTTGTAAGATTACAGACTACAGTCAGAGTGGCTATGGATAAATATAAAAGAAAACAAATCTTCCATTACAAGTCATATTTTTCCAGATTTTGAAACAAGGCACATYTCCATATTCTCCTTTTTTGGACAGCTTCTTTGAAGAATAGCTTCCAGAACCAACCAGTGTATTCCAGAAACAGGGTCATCAGTGCTGGATATGAACATTGTACGTAAAGAAAGGCAGAACAAAAATTAATCCAACTCTGTCTTCTCAAAATTTTTGTATTGACTGCAGATCATAGTGCAAAAGATGTAACTTYTTTGTTTTCAGAAAAGCTCAAGAACTTAACAAGTCTTTTTTTGTTTCAAAGAATAAAATAACTTGAAGAAATATTCCAAGTATTACACTATGTATCTATCTACTTCTAGAAAACATCTTTCTCATTGGTAGTTGAAAGGTTAAATACCTGTAAAACAATACAAGAAGCACAGCACAATACAAGACAAGGAGACAAGGATAAGTTAAGGTTAAATGCACATCTTTCCTAAGATGATTACCCTTGAGTGAGGGATTTGAAGGAAAGCAAAATTACTGTTTCTGAGAAAGGGAATCTGGAACATTTTATTTCCCATACCACAAATACAAGTTTATTTTAGACAACAGGAAAACAACTTCCCCGAGAAGGCAGATGTAATTTTGGTGTCTACACTGAGTTCTTGCATGTCACCAATTAATACCACAGACACTGGTGTAGCAACRAAGCAGACCAGTGAACAAACAGCTTCTGGCAGGGAAAAACTGGGGTTTGAATAAAACTTCCTCTGTGAACACTGTGGTATCATGAGGGAATTCTTGCAGCTTCACAAGAAGCATCTGATAGAGACTAACACAGAAGAATGAACTTCATGGATCACTGACCTCTCTTCATTTTCTACAGTACCTTCTCATTACTAGAAAACATTTTTGTATAGCAAGGGTCAGTGAAAAGCCATTTATCTTTGACATTCTGCCCTTACATTCTCCAACAAGAAAACAGACATTAAAAATCTACTTAGATTCTCCAGTAAGGAATAAAAAACTGTATTCCTACAGCTCATGTAAAACTGTTTGCTACTTTTGTCTCATCAGCATCTTCACAGATATAGGGGCTTGCAAAGGAAAACCAAGGTCTGATTCCTCATGAGGAGTCCCTGCAACACATGCCACAGCTTTGACCATTACGAGGCCACTGAGAGGTGGAGACCTGACCAAACCACCACTCATACATCATGGAAGGCACAATGAGCAAGAAAACGTCTTGACATGGCTTATCTTCCCTGGACCCAAACAAGGCATCAAGGCAAAGTTTATCCTGTTCATTTCCTCAGTCAGAGAACCTTCATGCTCACACCTCTCACTGAAGTAAGTTGCAAAGTGTCATCCAACCTACATGCTACAGCCTGCTCTTGGGACAAGTACCTTATGTTTGGATTATTTTTATGAAGCACAATGATCTCTAATACCACGGAAACTAAGAGACCATAAGAATTTTAGAAGCACAGGTGTCAGCCCATTGATTTCTGGATCCTAAAACAATCACATYGTAGTCACTTCATGCACAAGAACTTTGTCAATGTCAAGACTCATGTTAAGGTATGATACTGCAGAAATCCTGCATTTGAATTTCCAAGGAAAAATAAGCTAGAAAAAAAAAGAACAAAGAAAACAAATTAACCAAACCATTTGATATTCAAGCACAGCTACAGAGTCCAYTTTTAAACTGGAGTTTATAGCATTCCAAGCAGAAGTTTTAGGTCAGTGACAGAGAAACTTACAGGAAAAGGGCCCCTCTCTCATGGATGAACAAACTTAGAATGTTCAAGTCTGACTGTTTTAGGCAGCTGCAAGGGGTTTAGAAAGTCACTGCAAAGCCCATATAAACTCACCCAACTGTCTATCAAAAGGCTGGCAACAAYTTCATAAAACAAGTCTAACTACCACATCTGTATGCTCCACAGTCCTTCCTACATCAACAATCCTCAGCAAAGACTAGAGCTGCTCTGGCTAAAACCATTCTAAGTGAACAGTGAGATACATCAAAGTGATGTGAGTAATCTCACAAGGTTAAATCCACACGGAAAGAAAATCCTACACTACCAATACTATTGTTAGCTAGTATTGAACAGGCATGATGACACAAGTGGACCTCAACCAATCTGAAGAAGAGAAAGCAGTCAGAAAAGGAGGACATTGCACCTGTGAGATACAGTGCAGCACATGAAGAAACGCACAGAGGCACCTCTGGGACAAAGGGAACAGACAAATGGGATAAGCAGACAGAATTGAGGAAAACCCTGCTGGCAGAGAGAGCATGTTATGCAATGAGCAGATAAGAAGGAGAAGTCAGAGCTGTAACTCTCACTTAATCTGGGGCCCATGCCAAAGAATTGTATCACTGACACTTTTAAGACCCATGAGCCTGTTCTGTACATACAGGTGAGGAAAAAAACCTTCAAAGCATGGAAAAAAAGAGGAGAATTTCTCATGCAGATCCTGATAGTGCTATGGAAAGATCACTATGGGAAGATCACAGCCACAAGTAGCAGCTGGCCACAACATTTTCAGTATGTTTTTAAGAAAAAGTAGCTCTTTTCTTTTTTTTCCTCAAGTAAGATTAGAGTTCAGCTGCAGTGACTGCTTCCCAAACAGCCATTCCACACTTCAGGGCCTCTACATTTCACAGTGAGAATGTGATGTGTGCTTGGAAGAAAGTCCCAGACGTCAAGGAAGCATCTTATTTTCTAYTAGAAAACCCATTCAGCTAATTAGACAAAACCCTATCTGTTCACACTTCAAAATCCTTTTCATAAGTTTTATGCCAAGACATCCACAACTTGTCTGTAGTTAGCACACTCTCTGGAGCTCCCAGTTATTTCTCCTTTGTACTGGACAATCCTTCCAGCTTGGGCTCCAGCCCAGACAAAAGCAGCACCCTGTCTAAAGAGCAGCTGCTGGATTAGAAGCCTGGAGATGACCATGAGTTAGATTTCTCATTCCAGTATCTCCATACTTTACAGTCCCACACTCTTCAGAAAGCTCTGCGGCTTTCTTGTGAAGAGTCAGCTGAAATTACCATCCTCAGCAAGCTGACCAAATCACATCCAAAACCTTTGAGCAAAGGGATGGATGTCTGTCACAGATATGCCAGATCTATCTCAGGCCAGCATATTCTTACTATTAACAGCACATCAGTCAACCTGCATTGCAAGCTTCACTAATTCCAAAAGCAAAGAATAAAACTTGTCGTTCAAGTATTTGACATGGATGTCCAGCACTGCTTTCTAACTCTATAGACCTACTTAAAGTAGTTAAGCAAAGACAGTTCAGCAACCAAGAGAAGTCAAATTAGCAGTGCAAACAGCTRTTCCTCTGTGTGCAGAGGTGTCAACACAGGACTTAAAGTTCAATACTCAAAGCATTACAATTGAGAGGCATTGCCAAACAACTACTTGTGACAAGTGACTTAAGGAATTTTCTTTCTGCCAGCACACTACCAAAGCTCAAAACCAGAATGAGGCAAGATTTAGGAAGATGCAAATTATAGTAGAACTGAGATMATTTTACTTGTATTATAACTGATTTGTCACATCTATTAGGACTCCAAATTATCAAATCTACTAGGACTCCAATCCAGCAAAGGAAATAAGCACACACTTTAGCTTTAAAATAGACAGACCCTCAGAAAGTTATGGGCCACTCATGAATATYAAGGAGTCCTTTCCTTCAGTATTTTACTAGGCTGGACCACAGAACATCCAAGGGTATTTCGAGCACAGGTAGCACATACTGAAAACAACTGTGCACACTCTGYTTTTTTGCTTACATCATTTATTTCTATAGTAACTTTTCAAAATACTTCTATTCAACAACAGTGTTATTTAACGAAGAGAAAAAATACTGTTGGTTAAAACCTGTTAAGACAATGTTGTCACTTTTATAAGGTTTGGTTTTCATTCCCCAAATTGAAGCATCCTAAAAAGGGCCTGTTTTCAGCAGAGACATTAAAAAAAGCTACATCCCCTAACAGATATCGCAGGCCTTGTGTTCAAAATCTTTAGCATTATTTCAACATATTTTGCCCTAAATGTCAAATAAAACACCCACAGAGAAGCAGTATGAGAACGAAAACTCACTTTAATCACCCACTTAAGGGACCTCCATCTCAGTCAGCAATGTTAAAGTTTCTACAAAGCTGTAGGGTAACAACTACTGGAACACAATTAGTCTTGGGTGTTACAAATGCCCAGACAATGCTTGCCTGGTATTAACGTTTTCACTAAATTTAAGTKAAATTATTCATTTAAGTGAAAACCAAGCCCTGGCCAAGCCAGAAGAGCTACAGCTCCTATAATGAAGACAGACATTGACAGTAACTAAGTCAAAATATGAAAGTCTAAGACTTGTCAGATTCAGGACACAATASAAGAAAAAATATACTTACTGAAACTTTCCACAAGGTCAAGGGCAACCTGAGTAGCCATATCCATTCCAGAGTTGATGAAGGACTGGCAGTTTTTCAGAGAAGAAAGAGCAGATTCAGCTGCGTTGAATGAGATTCTTGGACCACCTGACATCTTGAAACSGTTACTCTACAAATAACAGGGAAAACTATTAAAAGCAGTTTACACACAAAGAACTTGGGAGAGGAAGCRTAAGTCCTAACAGATAGCTAACCTTAAAGCAGTGTCAACAGAACCACTGAAACATGAGTGAGCAGGGATGAAAACTTAACTCCCACGATGTCAGTAATTTCAGTGAAAATGCAATTTACCACAAGGTTTCAATTCACCTCCTATTCAATGTTAAGCAAAACTACACCACAAAAAGCAACTGGCAGTTTTCATCTGCTTATTCCTACTGCTAAACCACAGTGAAGGTCAAACTCAATGATTATGTCTGCTTGAAAACTACTGCTCTATTTCAGATCCAAAAAGCCCACGTGCCCAAAAACCTGTCTGAGTTTTCTAGGCATATTATCAATTAGGATAGAAAGAAATATGAATTCTCACATTCAATTTAGCCTCACCACAACTGGCCTTTGGAAAATACAATCTAACAAAAGGCCACTCTACTAAGAGAGTACTTGACAGTAAAATAACTAGCATAATTTTTAAACAAAAGTCTATCTTACAAACGCTGAATGCTTCTGCCAAAGATGCTACAAACTTTTGGTACCCACATTCCATTACGCCAAATAAAGTCACACAGGTACCATGGTTTATCTTCCTTGCCACCCTCCGGCTTTTCAACACACACCCAAAACCCTTGGGTAATCCCTTGTGGGGATTAGCTGCTCTGTCATTAACAAAACCTTCAGGTGTTTTTGCTGATGTTGTGCCTATCCAGACTGCTCACATCTGCTGGTTTCTTCTCAAAAATCCTTAATTTCTACTCTTTCTTCTTCATGTTTTGCCATAACCCACAACATGTAGTTACTGTGAGAAACATGTACCTGGTGTGTACAGTATTCACATATTATATAGTATACAGTATTTTATATATTTATACTTCAAGTTGCAGATTAGAAAAATTCTGCTTCAGATTTAGATACCGTGCCCCCCCCCCCAAAAAAAAAAAAAAAAATAAACACAACAAACCAGAACTGTTAGACAGAAAGTCCAGGTAAAGAACTAACTAGAGTGTTCAAGCACTACACTGAGGTGCCATTGGGGGAGACAGAGACAGATTCCACAAACAAATTTGGGGTATAAGAGGACAGGAAGAATTGCTTYATCAACAACAGTCTTTAACAGGCTATAATCCAACAGCCATCTGGAAATCATCTAAATAGAAAGTACAATGCTTTTCCCAAGCTTTGGATACCTAAGGCTGTATCTCCCTCTACTGCTTTCCCTGAGACTCCAGAACTATACCTTGTGCTCCCACTAAGCTGAACACCATTGCAACATTCCTCAGAAGTATCATACAGACTATGAGACTGGAATACCTGCTGTCTCCTAATGTTTATTTCCTATCTTTTTGGTTTTTTCCATTTATAAAAATTGGTTGACCAGTCAGTACTATCTTTCAGTACACCATCTTTAGGTCATGTGCTTTCAGCAACAACAGTTCAACCTCACTGCAAATTGAACTTCCTAATTACATGCAAATTTGTGTTTCCTCTCTATCCCCTTTTAACGGTGCCTCTTTCCACAGATGCAGTAGGCTTCAACTACAGCTCTAGTTATGTCAGTTCATGCTGTCCCTGACAGAAGGCAATGACTGCTATCATTAGAGATCTTCAGAGGCTGTCAAACTGACAACAGAACACAAGGGAAAAGKTCCTTATAGAACTCCCTGAAAGTAAAGAAAAAGGATGTTCTTAAAGATTTAGTAATAAATTCATTCAGCTAGTACATTATTTAACTTTTTTTTAGAAGTACTTGTTTGCCATCTTAGCAAGACTGTATAGAACCTCTGTGATACAAACATACACTATTAAATAGTCACATCAGATTTTGTTAGCAGCTTTATCTTTCTGGGTCCAGTTTGTGTATTAAACACAGAGAGAGCCTAACTCCCCTCTTGAACTTGGAAAGCCTGCCATTCCTTTAGAAATTTCACAGATACACATTGTGAAGGCAAAAATCTGAAAACAAAAATCCAACAGTGAAAGTTAAAAAGGCTCCTTCATTCTTATGAGCAAACTACACAGGACCAGAAGTTACTGGTTATGATATTAAATTATACCATTGCATTAGYAGTTTCATCTCAATCTGTCTTTTGGAAAGCAATTTCTTTTGGATAAATTTTCCTTCTATTTTTAACAAAAGATCATTTTTCTTGAAAACTGGTTACACTCCTGTAATGCCCCAGCCTGCCTGAAGGGTTCAGGGAAAGGTASCTGGATTAACCCTGGAAAGAGCATGGGAAAAACAACCAAATTCTCGAGCGACTCAGTAACAACCTTCACTCACAAAATTTAGAATATTCAAGTAGAATAAGGTACTTGGCAAAAGTTTAAAACATCCAGACAAAATAAGGCACTTCCCAAACTTTAACTTAGCAAACTTCAACTTATGCAGACACAAGAAGATACTGGAATTTTTTAGTCTGGCTTACAATATATTTTGAGAAGAAGGTATGAGAAGAAAGCCAGAGAGAGAAAGAGAGAAAGGTAGGCAGTCACCACCCCAGGATCCAGCATGGTCTCAGCAGGCTTCTAAACCCCTGGCAGTGGAACATGACAGCGCACTGCTGTCCTTTTGTCTGCTCTGCTCTGCCACTTCAGGGCTTACAGGACAGGCCCTGTTCCCCCTCCACACTTCCCACCGGGCTGTTTTGAGTCAGTCAACTGCTCCTCAGGTCTCCTACAGATACCAAGGCAGAGATTTTGCTCTTGAACTTTCTAAGTGAATTCTTCAGCTTGGAGCTGTCCATTCTACCTTTCAAGGAAGGGCCACACTCCTCACTGGAATTGGTTTCGCTGCAGGGTTTTTAATGCCCTTTTTTCTGCCAGAGAGGTCTTCAATGGGTGCATCAAAACAGATCCTATTTGCAACCCCCAGCCCCCTCACTTCTGGAAAACACAATCATCAAACTCAGTGTGAAATGGGAGAGTACCGAGGGCATTGTTTTTTCTTTTAACAAGTGTTCACATGGTCCAKGCAGGATAACCAAAAGAATTTACTGTTTCTATTCTGTTCCTTATTTTAAATATTTGAGGAAATGACCTAAACTTTCTATACTTCAACATCTCAAACCATGAAACAGAGGTGAGAACAAAAATTATTTGCTACTATAACACAAGCTCTACAGTGGCAAGCWCTCTCGGAGCACCAGGATCAGCGCCCAGCCCCAGGTACGCTCGATGACCAGCGGCCACCGAGAGGACACYGCTCCTCTCTCCCAGGCCTCTCCCCGCCTCAGCCGGTCCCGGGCAGGCCGGGCAGTCCCGCAGGAGGAGCGACACGGCACCGAACCCGTCCCGCCGCCGCTCCCCGGGTTGGGAACGCTGCCCTCACCCGCGGAGAGGCCGGGGCCGGCGGGGACAGCCACCCTCGCCAKCGGCCGCTGCTCACCTCGACCCCGCGGACTGAGAGCGCGGCTGTCCCGGGGGCCACCCCACACCGCCCTCCCGGCGGTAGAGACAGCGGGCGGGAGCGCCGGGCACCGGGGCGGGCGGAACCGCCTCATCAGCCGGCGCCGTCATGTGATGGGAGGGCTCGGCAACGTCGTAGAGAGCGCCGCCTCCTCCCTTCCATCCTTCCTACTTCCCCCCATCCCTCTCTGCCCGCTGCTGCTGCCACCGTCCCTGTCCCTGCCCGCAGGCGCTGCCGGGGCAAGGTGAGCGCCCCGGGTGGGGCGGGCGTGGGCGGGAGCCGCTGAGGGAGCGGGGCGGGATGGGTGCAGACTGTGAGGGTGGCGGTGGCGGAGCGGGATGGAACCGAACCGAACCGGACCAGGCTGGACTGGACTGGACTGCCTGGGGTTCGGAGTCCGTGCGGCCGCTGCCGGTCTGGGGCCCGTTGTGCGCCCTGCGGAGCAGAGACTGCGGTGGCACCGGGGATGTGGGAAGGCTCCGGGTGCTCCTTCTGGGTCAGGACTGTTTTGGGACAGCTCAGTGTCGTCTTACATTTATCGCAGAGTTTCGGAAGGTTTTTGCTGAAGTCAAGCCCGCTTATTACTTCTCATCGATGTTTTTGAAGCACAGACGCTTATTTTTGGTACTTGCACRCCGTATCCCGCTGGAAATATGTCAGCGAATAACACTGACCAGGAAATGCAACGACAGCATGGAAGCTCGTCCTTTAGCAGTAAATAAAGGAACCGAGCTGTGTCATTTCCATTTGCTGTATAAGTTTTCCTTACTGCTAAAGCCCATTATGGCCCATTCGAAGTGGCTCTTAAAAACAAGTGTTGTGAAGTGATTTTGCTTTCCTTGCTCCCATCTTCTTGCGTGGTCACAATTAATTTGGTGTTTGTGACTGTTTCATTCTTCAGTAATGCTCTTCAACTTTCCTAGTACAAAGGATCATGCTTCCCCTGCCTGTGAACACAGGTCACTTGTCAAACCCTATGTAAATGCTGAAAATTAATTCAGTGTATTTCTTTCATTTTACAAAGCTGTGGATGGTTTAGATTTCATAAATTGAAAGATTGGAGATTATGCTTAAAAATCCACGAATGAAACTGAAAAATATGAATACAAACCACTCTGTGGATGTGTGTGGGTTTGTTTTTACAGGTTATTGATGGCGCAGCTGATTTCTTCATCAGGCTTTTTGCTTCAAATAGACTAAAACTGCAGAACTTCTGCTCTGTCACATCCAGCTCCACAATGGTGGATTTTCTGGCTGAAAACAATCTCTGTGGTCAGGCCATTCTTCGGATTGTTTCCTGTGGAAATGCCATCATTGCAGAACTTCTGAGACTTTCCGAATTTATTCCTGGTGTTTTCAGGCTAAAGGACAAGGCTGATCAACAGAAGTATGGGGATATCATATTTGATTTCAGTTATTTTAAGGTAAATCCTTTTATTGTTAAACTTCTCTTTAAAGCATTGCTGTCCCACATGAGGATGCTTTGGGTTGTGAAACAGATATTGCTGACTGTTGTGTTTATTACTTCTACATCTTCCAAAAYGTTTGATGAGTCATCTGGCCTGTGATCTTCGATAGATACCAAATAYATAAAACAAGAGTATKGGTTTCTGGGGAGGTAATAGTAGTWRCAGTAGTAGTAATTCCTGCAGGACCACTAAATTAATTATACTTCCACCAGARGRTTCTGAGCCTGAGCCTTCAGAGCAGGGCCATGGGCAGTCTGCCCATCTTTCTTCTGTTAATCTGTAGCTTATTCTTTGCAGCCATGAAAACTTCTTTCTGCTTTCCTGACAGTGCTGTGATTGTTCTTTCACTGGACTTGTCACATGCGCTGAATAAACAAATAAGGAGAAGCATCTATGGAAAGCCCTTATTTCSCTTTCAAAATTAAGCTTGCAGTACCAAGTTACCTCTGTCATTTAACAGCAGATAGCTGTAATTGGTGAGAAATAAAATAATCCCTAAAATTGTAGGACTTTTGAATGTTAAAAAAGCATAACAATGTGCTATTTTTCAGAATTAAAAAACAAAAAGTTCATAGATATGCCTGTAAAGCAGAGATTAGGGAGTTTATGGATATTTTTACTGCTAATACGTTCAGTTTTGTAGTCACGATTCTTAGTGACTACATGATGATGTAATCACTAAGAATGATGATTCTTAATCATTTCCTCTCCTCACCTAATGAGGAGAGATTTGAGATTTTGAAAATTGAGACTCTGTACTTTGTGCAGTTAAACTTCATAGGCAATGCGACGCCTGCTCTTATGCTTTATGTAGATATTTTGCACAAAAACAGAAGCAGAAGAGCATTCTTTAAAACTCAAATTGTCTACTCGGTAGTTTCAATTACATTTTAATAGTATTTTCAATTTAACTTTAACAGTATTTTCATTTAGATGGTAATGGTAAGACTGAATGGTGATCATGAGAAATATGACAGTGGTAAAGGGTTGGAAAAGTTACACTATTGCTTTGAGGAAGTCAGGTACTTCATCCCAACTCTTTTTTTCCCTGTGATTGTTAATGACAAAGTTTCTGCATTAATTCAGGAGAAAGTGCTGAGATATATTCAGAGTCTGTGAAAAAAACAGTCTAATATTTTCAAGCAGCTTGTATCTATCAGAAGGTGCTAAGCTTTGTGAGCCCTGAATGTTATGGCTTCTATCTGATAAATCAATCAGGTRAAATGTGTAAAGGAAAAAATTCCATCAGGGAGATAACACTACAAAGACAGTCAGTGAGTGCCTTCAGATGTGTTGGGGCTTTACTGAAAGCATTGGCTATTATTTTCCATTGATTAAATTTGATAGATCATATTTAAAATCATTGCAGATTGTAACAGCTTTATGGAACCAATATTTAACCATAAAGTAGGCTGGAAAACTGCAGATCCTTGTTTTAGTAAGGAATGTTAATTTTGGTTTGCACACAGGGGTGGTTGTGCATGGTCTGTGTCTTACTGAAGACAAATCAAGTAGGGATTGAAGTCAAGTATTGTCTCTAAAGATGAGTTCCTTTTTTTCAGGGGCCTGAGACATGTGAAGGCAAACTGGAAGCCAAGCCTGAGTTACTGGATTTAGATGAAGAATTTCGTGAAAACAATATTGAAATTTTGACGAGATTTTATTTAGCTTTTCAGAGTGTGCATAAATACATTGTAGATTTAAACAGGTATGGTATCTTACATACATATAGTTTTTCAAAGACTGAATTACTGTTTTATCTTTTTGATGAGAAGCTCTTTCATTAGAGACTCAGTATACTCAATGATGAAGAATATTCATGTGCACCTGGAGACTTGGAGTGCTGGAGTAAACATTAACTTTTACTCCTACAGTTCCCAACCAGCTTAATGTATGACTTGAAAACATTTAACCTCTATCTCATTTCCTCAGTTGTAAACTTGAGTTATGTTTTTATCTTGGAGATTTTTCTGAAGATTATTTTAATAAAAGAAGAATACATATTATTAAGCTAATTTTTTGTCATCTTGCAAAACAGACTATCAGGTAGTTTGGGTTTTTTAACTTTCATTGGCATTGTTTTCCTGAACTTAATTTTTCAGTGGAGTTGCCACATTCTCAAGTTCGCTGCTCTGATCTATAATAAAAAAAATGAAAGGTTCATGAAATGCTTTAAGAAAAAGTTCCTGAGAATGTTAAACATGAGAATTGGTTTAATTATTGATGTTATATGAAAAGATTGCATGTTTGATATTATTTATTAACAAGTAGTATTACTGGGAAATCCTTTAATAGGAATAAATCTGTAGATTAAGGTGAACATATTCTGTTTCTAGCTCTACCTTCCAAATTGCAAGTRAGATCAGTTTATGGTATTTCCAGGWGATATTTTTGAGGTCACCTGAAAATATCACAGCTTTACTAAATTATTGCGTGGCAGCCTTCCCAGGCTCCATGAMAAGATCCATCCATGTCCTTCCTATCCATGACAAAATTAGGAGGATGAGCAGTAAGGTACCAGGTAACCTCCAGGGTCTTTCCTATACGCCATCAGGATATGGAAGGAGACTTTTGCCAACTGGTTGGCACTAACTAGGAGTTCCAGTCWCTCATTTTATAGTTGGGCCTCTCAGTCTGAAAAACTCCATGCTGCTTGTACTGTAGAAATGTTMTGATGCATCTGTTGGCTTTCAGAGAAAATATGACTTACTGAGTTCTGGTTTGAGACCAAAATAGTCAGTGACCAAACTTGTTGTCATAATTCCTAGATACTTAGATGACCTCAATGAAGGAATTTACATTCAGCAAACGTTAGAAACCATCCTCCTTAATGAAGATGGAAAACAGCTTCTAGTAAGTATGGACTAGTTTTGTAATAGTAGAAAATTACCCATTAAGTAAGTRCCAAACTAGACAAAAATTTAAGTTTACCAAACACATAGAAATGCTGTAGCTCATTTCACAGAGCACAAAGACTAAGAATCCTCAGYCTGCCATTTTTTCATATTGTGTTGACTACAGAGTTGGCATTGGGTTGGTTTGCCAGTAAATGTTTTTCTTTAAACGTTGCTACAAAATTGTGTTTATGAGATTTTCTTTCTTTTACCAAACAGTGTGAAGCCCTGTATTTATATGGAGTCATGCTACTGGTCATTGACCAGAAGATTGAAGGAGAAGTCAGAGAAAGAATGTTGGTTTCCTACTACAGATACAGGTAATGTGTAAGATGTGCAGAAGCACTCAAGGCTGAGAAGATGTAACATGCAGTATATTCAGTAACCTTGGTTATTRAATTAAGATAAAAGGAAACATTGACACCTTTTTCATCAACTGTCTTTATACAGATAATTCAGCAGAGCTCTCTGAATATCAGTAGAGCTCCTTGCTTTAACTGTGCTTTTAGGTTCAGCTGCAAAACAAGCAACAGATTTTTCATTCTGTTGCAACAGAATTTGAGGTCCACAAATAAACTTCCAGCTAAAGCTTTTARGCTGCGAGTGTCAGCTATGAAAGTGTCAAAGGTTCCCAAACGCGCAAGGAAACCTCCTGAAAAGTCCTGCCTGTCTAGGTGACMAATGTATTGCAAGGCAAACTTCTTGTAGTTACAGAGCTTGATTAGATAAATCAGGAACTTCTTTCAC